AGTTTCTAAAGGGTGGGGTTGCTGACAAGATTAGGGTGTGTGCGGGGGGGGGGGGGTCTCCTAACTTGAAGCGCTTCTCTGGTCCCTTTAATCTTGCCTCAGGTGGTTTCCTGGCTGCTCCCCCCTTGATTATCAACTGTTTGAATCTGCCCTTTGGAACTCAGGGAAGGTCATGGAGGCTGGAGTCTTGCCTATAAGAAATGGGGGACAAAAAGGCCTCCATGCCTGGGAGCCCCATAGGGCCCTGCTCGGTTTCAGCATTAGTAGGTGTTAGTCACATTGCATCATTATTACTTTATTCAGCCTCGGCTTCCTCACTAATATGTGCTGTAGGCATCTCTATCAAATCACAGATATCAAGACTCTAGAGCAGCAGCTGGCAAATGTTTTCTGTATAAAGGACCAGATAGTAAAGACTTTCAGCTTTATGGGCCTTATGGTCTGTGTCTTAGCTGCTCAACCTTGTTGTTATGTGTGAAAGCAGCTGTGGACAGTATGCAAATGAATGGTCCTGACTCTGTTCCTGTTAAACTTGATAAAAGCAGGGGATAGACCTGATTTGCCTGTAGGCTAGAGCAGGGTTCATGGACTTGAATGCCTGTCGGGGGCTAGGCAGGTACTGCAAAAGAGTCAAGTGGCTGACTGGGGACTGCCACTAGTGCCTTGTCTAAAACGGGCAGCTAGTTCTTACCTGCAGCCACTTGTGACTGCCCCAGTGATATTTGAGCTTATAATTCAAGAGTAGCTGGAAACGGGTATTTTTACACAAAGCACTTTTATCAGTGGGCAACTAACTTTAGATTTGTTCAGAAAATATAGTAAAGGTCAAGCTATATATCTTCGTGAGCTCTTTTCTGGTCCATAGGATCTAGTTTTGCAAATTCTGGTATTTTCAGGTGTAACTGTGTATTATGTATAACTATATATTATGTACCGGAACTTCCTGGAAAATGTCATCAGACATGGATAGCAAATATCTAGTTCTGATGCTGCTAGCTCCCTTCAAGTGCCTGTGACAGACATCAGTAATCAATCATACCACTCTCTCCTGCTGAGCCTAGAGAAAATTTCAGAGTGATTCTACACCAGTCCTCAGAAAAGCCACAACCAGTGAATTCGTTGTGTCCTCTGATATATGAGGTATTTGTCACTCCTGTTCCAGAGGACTCTCTTTAAAATGTTTTTGGGATTCACCTGGCTTTGGACTTTTTAATTCTATGACTTTAAAGAAATCTAGCTAAAAATTGCTATTAACTAAAGAGTATTTCAGAAAATATGTATCAGAAATAACGCATATGACAAAAGGTAAGATTCTGTTCCTATGGCAGAATTTATTCTATTTTATTGAATAAATTTATTTATTTATTTTTGGCTGCATTGGGTCTTCATTGTGGTGCGCAGGCTTCTCATTGTGGTGGCTTCTCTTGTTGTGGAACAGAGGCTCTAGGTGCGCGGGCTCAGTAGTTGTGGCGCACAGGTTTAGTTGCTCCACGGCATGTGGGATCTTCCCGGACCAGAGCTTGAATCCGTGTCCCCTGCATTGGCAGGCAGATTCTTAACCACTGTGCTGCCAGGGAAGTCCCAGATTTTAGATTCAAACTTAGAGAACTGAAGATCTCCACAGTTGCATGTGTCCTTAAAGGTTCTGGTAGCATCCCGTCTTTGAAGAGACCATGAACTTGGATTTCTGGTCCGATTTTTTTTCACCATACCTATGCAAAAGTAACGGGAGCAAATAGTTATAAAGGGGAGTTTCTTTTTCCTTTCTCTTACTGCCTCTGACCCTGGTGCACAGTTACTGGAGAGTAAGATGTTCAGAATTTAGGGACTCTATATGAGAATATGTGCCATCTGGGAGCACATACTTTTGGATTGTGTATGTGGCATGCACATGATGCAGCCTAAGTAAAACATGCTTTATTGTCCATTTTGATGGCATAAAACTTTACATCTTTCGTACTCTGCCCTCTGTGAGTCTAAACCGTACTTGTCTCTCAAGTTTGATCTTCTCCAAGAATTCTGCTCTACCCATTCTAATCCTTATTGAACCTGCCTCTTCTCTAGATTTCTTTAATATTGAGAACTGTCCTAATTTAGCAGTGTCATGCTTTATTACATTATTTGATTTAATTTGCATTTGTTTCCCCCCGCCATAATTAACATTTTCTTTTCCTGCCATCTAGCATAGTAAGGACTGTGAAGGGTGTGAACTGAAAGAACATTTTGTTTTTAAGCAGGCAATTTAGTACAGATGATCATTGGATGCTTTTTATATGCCAGTCACTGGGGCTCTAAATGTGGATGAAACAGAAAAATGGACCCTGCCCTTGAAGACCAGAGTGTAGTGGATTAAAGTCTAATGGAATTTAAAATGTTCCCTTTTTTAGTAATCAGTGATGAACATTTACAGCTCCCCTGGAAGGGAAGCTCCCCTGGGCCTAGGTCTTTGTTTCATTTACTGATATACCCCAAGTGCCCAGGTCACTGCCTTGTATACAGTAACTGCTCAGTAAATATTTCTTAGGTGAACTTTTACAAGTTTTTATGTAAGTGCAGGACTCTTAGTGTAGGTGAACCATGGTGTCTGCCTTCCACTTCCTTTACGTCTCTCCCACTCCTCATCCCAGCCACGTAGTTCTCTGCCCAGAAAAGTCAGCCTTGACTTTCCTTCCAGAAATATTATATGTACGTATACGTACGTGTGTGTGTTTGTACTTCTTACACAAATTATAGCCTATGCCTTTCTTTCCCTTAAAAATATATCCGATAGTTCTCTATCAGTGCATACTCATGTTACTTTTAGTGGCTATATGGTATTTATTACTTGGACATTTCATAATTTATTAAACCAGAAACTTATTGATGGATATTTAGGTTATTCTTATCTTTTGCTCTTATAAACAGTATTACAGTAAATATCCTCACTCAATTTGCGACCTCTGCAAGTAGGAATTTTAGTATACATTCCTAAAAGTGGAATTGTGGAATACTTATAAGTTCAAAGGGTTTATGTATTTGTAATTTTGATAGGAATTGCCAAATAGTCTTCTACAGAGAATATGAATGTGCCATTTTGCTGCACTCTTACTAACACCATATTTTATCAAAGTGCTTGATTTTTTTGTGATCTGATAGGTGAAAAATATCTATTATGGCTTTGTATTTCTCTTACATAAATAAGTTTGAACATCTTTTTATATGTTTACAAACTCATTTCATTTTATGTGTTCTGTCGTTATAACTTTTGCCCATTTTTCTATGTGATAACTGATCTTTATCTTATTGCTGTGTAGGAGCTCTTTGTATAGTTAAAAAAAAAAAATTCCATGTCTGTGCTTGCTTGTTTATATTTCTATGTGAATTAGAGAATCAGCTTGTCTAGTGACCTGCCCCGCTCACCTAAAAAATCAATCCTGTTGGTATTTTTGTTGTGTTTGTGTCAAATTTATAGGTGATTTAGAGAGAACCGGCATTTCCATGATGTTTCGTCTTATTTCCCAGGAACATAATATGTCTTTACATTGTTTAAGTGAGTCATTGTTGTGATAAAGGGCATTGTCTTAACTTTGAGACTGTTTCTAATGTTTCCCTATTAAAATATGCTGGCTTTGGGATTGAGATAGATCTGTATTGTATCATGTTAAGGAACTAGCCACCCATTGCTATCTTATTGAGGTTTTTACCGCGAAAGGATATATTTTGTCACGTACATTTGTGTAATTCTGGTGCCTCATATATCTGTTGGTTGTTTGTTTTCATCTATGAATATGATGAATTTTAAGTATAGACTTTTGCATATTGAACTATCCTTGTACTCATGGAGTAATTTCTACTTGGCCATGGAAAGTTATCCTTTTAATATGCTGCTGGATTCGGATTCAGTTTTCTTACATAGATCTTCCATGACCTACTGGGGTTGTCTCCCAGTAAGCCCATTGTAAGTTGAAAATATAAGTCACAGCTGCATTTAATACACCTAACCTACCGAACATCATAGCTTAGCCTAGCCTGCCTTAAACCTGCTCAGAACACTTACATTAGCCCACAGCTGAGCAAAATCATCAGACACAAAGTATATTGTAATAGAGTGTTGAATATCTCATGTAACTTCTTGAATATTGTACTGAAAGTGAAAATGATTATATGGGTACAGAATGGTTGTAAGTGTATTAGTTCTCCACCCTTCTGATCACGTGGCTGACTTGGAGCTGCCTCTGTCCAACATCACAAGAGAGTATTGTTCTGCATGTCGCTAGCCTGGGGATAGGATGAAATTCAAAATTCGAAGTATTTTGACTGAAGGAATGTTGCTTTCACACCGTTGTAAAGTTGAAAAATCATTAAGTTGGGGACCATCTGTGTACTGTATTTAAGAATTATGCATTGATTTTCAGATGTGAGACGTGTGTGTGTGTGTGTGTGTGTGTGTGTGCGCGCACGCGCGCACACATGCGTGTGCTTGCTTTGGAGTGTGATACGTATTTTGTCTTTATGAAAAGAATTTGAACACTTTTCTTTTTCTGTGCTCTTGAACAATTTACAGTGGATTGAAATTACCCACTTCTTAATTTTTTGATAGAATTCTCCTTTGCAGCTCTCTACTCCTGTGTTCTTTGACAACTACCCCTATACCTTCTTTGGCTTTTGTTTAGCTTTTCCACCTCTTCTGGGGTCAATTTTGGTCATTAATGTTTTCCTAAAAACCTATCCAGATTTTCTGATTTAGTTACATGGAATTGAACAAAATAATCTTCTTTCATTTTCTTTGGTATGTGTGGTTATTTCCTCACCATTTTCAGATTTTTTTACTTAAAAAATAAATGACACGTTAACAATATTCTAAAGAATGTGTTTTTTAAAAAAAATATGACGTAAAAAGAGTATATAGTTCACTTATCCATATTTTATTAAAACCTCAGTTATTTCTAAGGTAACTGTTGTGAAACCCAGAACTTTAGATGAAACATTTCCTTTCTGACAACTCTCTTCTCTTTTGACAGACCCTGAAGAGGAAAGTGAGGATGACCCTCAACTCGAAGGCAGGGATCCTGATATTTGGCACGTTGGTTTTAAGATCTCATGGGACATAGAGACACCTGGTTTGGCGATACCCCTTCACCAAGGAGACTGCTATTTCATGCTTGGTAATTGGGAGGATCAAAGCTATACTGATGCTCTAGTGTCTAGGTTTTAGGTTATTGGGTACATATTTTGCATATGTCTTTTGAAATAAACTTTTCAGGTTTTTTATAGTGATAATAAAACATCTACATGTGACTAGGTTTTCTTAAAAGATACTGCTAATTTTTATTTTTAGTGTTTTGAATTTTATTTTATTTTTTATACAGCAGGTTCTTATTAGTTATCTATTTTATACATATTAGTGTATATATGTCAATCCTGATCTCCCAATTCATTCCACCACCACCACCACCACCCCGTCACTTTCTCCCCTTGGTGTCTATACGTTTCTTCTCTACATCTGTGTCTCTATTTCTGCCTTGCAAACCGGTTCATCTGTACCATTTTTCTAGATTCCACATATATGCATTAATATACGATGTTTGTTTTTCTCTCTCTGACTTACTTCACTCTGTAGGACAGTCTCTAGATCCATCCACATCTCTACAAATGACCCAATTTTGTTCCCTTTTATGGCTGAGTAATACTCCATTGTATATATGTACCACATCTTCTTTATCCATTCGTCTGTCGATGGGCATTTAGGTTGCTTCCATGACCTGGCTATTGGAAATGCTGCTGCAATGAACATTGGGGTGCATGTGTCTTTTTGAATTATGGCTTCCTCAGGGTATATGCCTAGTAGTGGGATTGCTGGGTCATGTGGTAATTCTATTTTAGTTTTTTAAGGAACCTCCATACTGTTCTCTGTAGTGGTTGTATCAATTTACATTCCCATCAACCTTGCAAGAGGGTTCCCTTTTCTCCACACCATCTCTCACATTTGTTGTTTGTAGATTTTCTGATGACGCCCATTCTAACTGGTGTGAGGTGATACCTCATTGTAGTTTTGATTTGCATTTCTCTAATAATTCGTGATTTTGAGCAGCTTTTCATGTATGTCTTGGCCATCCGTATGTCTTCTTTGGAGGAATGTCTATTTAGGTCTTCTGCCCATTTTTTGATTGGGTTGTTTGATTTTTTTAATATTGAGCTGCATGAGCTATTTATACATTTTGGAGATTAATCCTTTGTCCATTGATTCATTTACACATATTTTCTCCCATTCTGAGAGTTGTTTTTTCGTCTTGTTTATAGTTTCCTTTGCTGTGCAAAAGCTTTTAAGTTTCATTAGGTCCCATTTGTTTATTTTTGTTTTTATTTCCATTACTCTAGGAGGTGGATCAAAAAAGATCTTGCTGTGATTTATGCCAAAGAGTGTTCTTCCTGTGTTTTCCTCTAAGAGTTTTATAGTGTCCGGTCTTACATTTAAGTCTTTAATCCATTTTGAGTTTATTTTTGTGTATGGTGTTAGGGAGTGTTCTAATTTCATTCTTTTACATGTAGCTGTCCAGTTTTCCCAGCACCACTTATTGAAGAGACCGTCTTTTCTCCATTGTATATCCTTGCCTTCTTTGTCATAGAATAGTTGACCATAGGTGCGTGGGTTTATCTCTGGGCTTTCTATACTGTTCCACTGATTCATATTTCTGTTTTTGTGCCAGTCCCATATTGTCTTGATTACTGTAGCTTTGTAGTACAGTCTGAAGTCAGGGAGTGTGATTCCTCCAGCTCCGTTTTTTTCCCTCAAGACTGCTTTGGTTATTCGGGGTCTTTTGTGTCTCCATACAAATTTTAAGATTTTTTGTTCTAGTTCTGTAAAAAATGCCATTGGTAATTTGATAGGGATTGCACTGAATCTGTAAATTGCTTTGGGTAGTACAGTCATTTTCACAGTATTGATTCTTCCAATCCAAGGGCATGGTATATCTCTCCATCTGTTTGTGTCATCTTTGATTTCTTTCACCAGTGTCTTATAGTTTTCTGAGTACAGGTCTTTTACCTCCTTAGGTAGGTTTATTCCTAGGTATGTTATTCTTTTTGTTGCAATGGTAAATGGGATTGTTTCTTAATTTCTCTTTCTGATCTTGTGTTGTTAGTGTATAGGAATGCAAGAGATTTCTGTGCATTAATTTTGTATCCTGCAACTTTACCAGATTCATTGATTAGCTCTAGTAGTTTTCTGGTGGCATCTTTAGGATTCTCTATCTATAGTATCATGTCATCTGCAAACAGTGGCAGTTTTACTTCTTCTTTTCCAATTTGGATTCCTTTTATATCTTTTTCTTCTCTGATTGTCGTGGCTAGGACTTCCAAAGCTATGTTGAATAATAGTGGTGAGAGTGGACATCCTTGTCTTGTTCC